CTACTGAAGGCGCTGACTGACACTCCCACGTTTAAATTCACATATATGCCCAATAAAGAGGCTGGGGGGATACGCGCCACGTTAGCTCAGTGGTAGAGCATCAAATGCGTTATTCTAAGGTCGCAGTTTCGGTTCCTGCCCACGGCAAGTTATTTTTTCACCCACTTTTCTTTCTTCACATTTACATTACGATTGGGTCTAATAACTTTCCCTATACTTTCCTTGGTAATATTTTCTGGTGGTTCTCATTATATTGTGTCGAAATACGGAAAAGCGAGCCCTTAAGTATACACTTCTGTCCCAATATATATACATATATATATATATATATATATATATGTATATATATATATATATATATATATATATATATTATGAGGAAGAGCTTTATTTGAGACAAGCTCGATCTGGCACACACTGATGATGGTATCTACAGATGAGAAAATTATACAAAGGATGATGACACGTCCAATTGATAAAGAAGACTTCGTGACAGCGCTCACACTAATTCCCCGTCACGCTGGAAGCAGCCTCCTCGCCGCGCGAGAGACAATGTTAGAAATTGCGTCGGGTATCCAGCTTCAGTCGAGAAACGTGCATAAGTTCTGTTTCATGGCAGCGATGGTCGAAGGGAGCGTTAAGTGGTGAGATACGGTAATTAACGGGGGGGCGTTTGTTAAATGACCATATAAGGTCCTATAAAACGACTGAGGAATTTTTCACGTAAGGCGGGCACACGCGCGGCAGTCCAGAGTAGAACTTCGTCTCCTGAAAAAAAGGTGACAGCATGATGAGTTGAGTCGTAGCGAGACTTGCGAGCTTCCTGAGAGATGCCGGTGTTAATTCAGGCCAGATGATGGCAGTGCTCGAGGCGATACAAAAATTGTACGGATAAAGGGCCTGCTGAGGTAGCAGGGGCCACAAGTAAGGAGACGTCCAGAGCTATATAAACTTGGAGAGCGGCTATGGACTTTAAAATAGGGAGAAAAGCCGCTATTGCATTGCGTAGCCGTATTGTGGGCGAACGTTACGAATAGAAAAAGGCGTCCCAGTTCGTGTGGTCAGGGCTGACGTACATGGCAATCATGTCTGAGATCGTACGATTAAAGCGTTCCATCAAGCCGTTTGTTTGTGGATGATAAGTAGAAGTTGTCTTGTGGATGGTGTTGGTGGTGCGTAGAGCCTCAGCAACAATAGAGGAAAGAAAGACCCTACCGCGGTCACTGAGCAGAACACGTGGAGCACCATGGCGTAAATCTATGTTACGCAGAACAAAATCGGCTACTTCACTGGTTGTACTTGCGTGCAGCGAAGCTGTTTTCACGTAACGAGTGAGGTGGTCAACAGCCATCACAATCCAACAATTTTCATTGGAGGTCACGGTAAGGGGGCTGTACAAGTCTATCCCGACGACTTCGAATGGCAAAGTGGGACAAGTAAGAGGTTGGAGAAAGCCAGAAGTAGCAGTAGTGGTCGTTGTCGCCGTTGACATAAGGCACACGAAGAAACATATTTGGCAACGATGGATGAGAGGCCAGGCCACGTGAACCGACTGCGTATTCTGCCTTACGTTTTGTGATAGCCGAGATGCCCAGCAGCAGGATCATCGTGGAATTTCTCAAGAACCTGACGCTGTAGACAACGCGGTATAACGGGTACCATTTGTCTCCTTCAACGTGATAAATATATCGATGTAAAACACCATCGTGAAGCTTGAATTGTTTGAGTGGTCCACGAAGTCGGGCGTTCGGAGGAGCGGATGTGCCTTCTAAGCGTCCTATTATGGAGTGGCAGTAAGGGTCAACGCGTTGATGCGACACAAGGGTAGATAGGTGGCCGGATCTTAACCAACTGAGACCCACGATGGTTAATGCGACGGCGGAAACTGGTGACGGTGAGCTTTCACGTTTGTGTAGAGGGCAGCGAGAGAGGAGCATGAGCATCTTGGTGCTTCTTACCAGACTTGTACGCGACTTAAAAATTGTGCTCTTGTAAGCGAAGCACCCAGCAGCCAGGGTGGCTCGAAAAGTTTTTTAGCGACGAAAGCCAGCTCAATCTGTTGTGGTTGGTGACGACTGTGAAGTGGCGGCCGTTGAGGTATGGAGGCAGTTTTGTACCGCCTATACAACAGCTAGGCACTCTTATTCGGTTATTGTGTAATTTTTCTCGGCAGCAGTCAAAGCACAACTCGCGTAAGCGAAGAAACGCTCGCGTGCGGTGTTTTCAAGCTTCAGTAGAACGGCACCAAGACCATGATCACTGGCGTAAGTGGGAAGCATGGTAGGAGCACCTGGATCGAAGTGACATAGTACCAGGCCGGATGTCAGTGCTTGCTTCAACGCCAGGAAAGCTTTTTCACAGTCTTCGGACCAGACGAATGCCGTATTACTTGCGAGCAGTTGATGGAGTAGAGATGCAAGCCTTGAAAAATTGCGTATGAAGCGCCGAAAGTAGGATGCCAAGCCGAGAAAACTGCGCAGGTCTTTTTGACGCAATGAACGGAAAAACTCAAAGACAGCGGTAAGCTTTTCTGGATCCGGTCGAATACCGTCTTTGCTGACTAAGTGCCCTAGAACATTGATCGTCTTGCTTGCGAAGGTGCAATTTTTCGTATTCAGCTGTAATCCAGCTTTTGCAAGGCAACCTAGGACTTCATCGAGACGTTGCAGCTGTTGCGAAAAGGTAGACTAAAACAATATGATGTCCTCGAGGTGGCATAAGAAGGTTTTCCACTTCAGGCCCCGCAGCAAGCTATCGATCATACGTTCGAAGGTAGCGGGCGCGTTATAAAGTCCGAAAGGCATTACGTTAACTTCATATAGCCCATCTGGGGTGGTAAAAGCCGTCTTTGTCAGATTCGGACACTGGTATTTGCCAGTTGCCCGATCGCAGGTCAAGGCTGGAAAAATATGCTGCGCCATGCAACGAATATAGTGCGTCGTCGATTCGTGGGAGAGAGTAAACCTTTTTTCACGTTATTTTGTTAAGTGCCCGATAATCAAAGCAAAAACGTACTGTTCGGTCTTTCTTTTGCACCAAAGCAACTGGTGAAGACCATGGGCTCGAGGAAGGACGTATGATATTCCGTCGAAGCATGGAAGCATGTCTGAGACGTTTTCCTCGATTATCTTTCTTTCTGCCAGAGACACGCGGTATGGATGCCGGTGAATGATTCGGGAGCCATCAGTCTAAATTCGGTGAGTCGCAGAAGTTGTCATACCAAGGACAGCAGAATGAACGTCAAACAAAGAGAGATGTCTGTTCAATAAATTCAGCTATTCTTGACTCTGGGCTGCTGTCAGATCAGGGCTTATGGTCATCGATAGAGAACTGGGAAAGTTGAGTGGCGGCGCGCTTGGCTCTGGTAGGTCTTCTTGACTTGGAAGGGCAACAATTGCAAAGCGATGCGGGTCAATAGCGCATGTGACTGTTGATCCACAGGGCAACAGTAAGGGTTCGGAGGTCTGATTTGACGAAATAATAAAAGCAGACTCTTCAGAAAAACGAACAAGGCTTGGAATGATCAGAATGCCTCGATGTACTGTGTGGCCTTAAGGTAGTAGAAGCACGTCGCAATCCACAATAATGTTGCAATTAACGCTAATTACTTCTTCTCGGCATGGCCAAAGAACATAATCTGAAGTGGTGACGAGGCCAATGCACACTTCGTGTTCCGATACACAAAAGTCAGTGAGATTGAGGTGGATGAGGCGCTCACCACACGATATGGAAGCGCATGCAGACGACAAGGAATCCCACCCCAAAATGAGTTCGTGGGTGCACTCACGGAGAACTGCAGCGGCAGTATGATGACGAATACCGTTTATAAAAATACGAACTGTACACTGGGCGAGTGAGCGAGTAATGTCATTCGTCACAGGACGGAGAGACGGGCCCGAGTAAGGTGTTGTGACTTTGCGGAGACGGGAGCAAAGGTCAGAGTGAATAATCAAAATAGTAGTGCCAGTATCCACTAGAGCTTCGACGCGCATACCTTCTACTAACACTCTTAACACGTTCGATGGTCTGTCTGGAGGAATTACTGGCTGTCAAGTGGATGCAGTTTTCCCTCCTAAAACTTCATTGGAAAGTTTTCCAAGTGGGCATTAGGAACATTTGGGGCAGGTCGCAGAGGCGACACGGAACGGCGATTGGGAGATAGTGAGCGGCGGCGAGACTCACGGGAGTTCGCAGGGAGACCAATATTGTAAGGTGGAGAGGGTGAACGCTGAAAGAAAGGCTGGTAAGGCGTGCGCTGGTAGTTCAGGAGTGGACTGAAGCGTCCGCGTTCCTCTGGAGCATAGCCACGTTATTCGTCCTGTTCCCGCATACGGCAAAAGTGAGGTGTGACCCCTATAGCCGCAATATTAGGATTGGGTGAGGAGGACGCGGTATGATGTAATACGGCTCTGGGCGCATCGGTGGTGACACTGACGCCACAGGTACATGGCCACGTGGTAATGCAAGGATTACCCGCCCGCTTCCGGCGGCTCTCCGTCGCTCCTTTCTTCTTCCTCTTCTTCTTTTTCTTCTTCTTCTTGTTGTCTGTTGCTGCCTCGTTCGCCCGTTTGTCTTCGTTTGTTCCTGTTTTCTTCCTTTTCTTTTTTTTCTTTTTTTCGTTTTGGGGGTCTTCAAACTGTGAGGATGGCCCTCTGCTACGGGGACTGGTATCATTTTGCTTATATCCTCCTTATAAGGCTGGTCCACCAGCTGAAACTGTTAGGATTAAATAAATACTTCATCGTTTGGTTTCCTATACTGCACTATTTTCGAAGGTTTTAACTGTTATTACGGTAGCCGGAAGAAACTCTGATTCTCTATTCAATATATATATATATATATATATATATATATATATATATATATATATATATATATATATATATATATATATATATATATAAGCTTCAAGTTCATCACCTACTATGCACTAGAGCTATGAACTAGTATGAACTGTGTTCGCTTACGTTTCTTTTAGATGGCGCGAATGGGCTACTCACTTTTAGAGACTTGACGAGAGACGAAGAATCGAGTGACCAGGGCTTGGTGTACACGTCGAACTAAGGAGCAAGATACAAATCATGTATTCACGTTAGTAAAGGCTCAAGCATGCTCATACTGTCACCAAGTCAGTAATATTGCATGGCAATGTCGTTATGTGAATACTTCTTACGTACTCTCCTTCTTTGTTCCTCACCACATGTAGATCTTCTTCAAAATAGTACAGTACAAAGAAATGAGCATGTTAACTAAAATGTAATGAATGAAACAGTCATGCATTTGCTAGTTACTACATTCACGTTGTTCTTCAGCCAACTGCAGTTTATATTGAATTGCCGCAAAAACTTATAAATGCATAAAATGTAATTTTGGGCTAGTTGGTTAGTTATATTTTCAAAAAAAGGCAGTACACACCGAGTTGAAACACAAACACGAAAAGGACGAAACAGTGCTTGTGTCGTCCTTTTCGTGTTCGCGTCTTAACCCGGTGTGCACTGACATGTATAGTGATTATAATGCGAAATTCGCTCGTGAGGCAGACTGCAGTGTGACCTCAATGTTATTAAAATAATAAAGCTTGTTGCCATTGTTTTGCACTAACGTAGTTTCCTTCACGAAAAACCCAATGTTATGGGGCACCCTTCATCACCATCATCATCAGCCTGACTACGTCCACTGAAGGACAAAGGCCTCTCCCATGTTCCGCCAGTTAACCCGGTCCTGTGCTTGCTGCTGCCAATTATTACCCGAAAACTTCTTAATCTCATCTGCCCACCTAACCTTCTGTCTCCCCCTAACCCGCTTTTCTTCTCTGAGAATCCAGTTAGTTGCCCTTAACGACCAGCGATTATCCTGTCTATGCGCCACATGCCCGCCCCATGTCCATTTCTTCTTCTTGATTTCAGCTATGATATCCTTAACCCCCGTTTGTTCCCTAATCCACTCTGCTCTCTTCTTGTCTCTTAAGGTTACGCCTACCATTTTTCTTTCCATTGCTCGCTGCGTCGTCCTCAATTTAAGCTGAACCCTCTTTGTAAGTCTCAAGTTTCTGCTCCATAGCTAAGTACCGGCAAGATACAGCTGTTATATACCTTTCTCTTGAGAAATAGTGGCAATCTACCTGTCATAATTTGAGAGTGCTTGCCAAATGTGCTCCACCCTATTTTTATTCTTCTATTTACTTCAACCTCGTGGTTCAGCTCCACGGTTATTACCAGCCCTAAGTAGACATAGTCTTTTACAAATTGAAGTGCACTATTACCTATCTCGAAGCGCTGCTCTTTTCCGAGGTTGTTGTACATTACTTTCGTTTTCTGCAGATTCATTTTAAGACCTACCTTTCTGCTCTCCTTGTCTAACTCCGTAATCATGAGTTGCAATTCGTCACCTGAGTTACTCAGCAATGCAATGTCATCGGTGACGCACATGTTATTAAGGTACTCTCCATTAACTCTTATCCCTAACTGTTCCCATTCTAGGCTTCTGAAAACCTCCTGTAAGCACGCGGTAAATAGCATTGGGGAGATTGTGTCCCCCTGCCTTACACCCTTCTTGATTGGTATTCTGTTGCTTTCTTTATGAAGCACTATGGTAGCAGTTGATCCCCTGTTGATTTCTTCCAGGATGTTTATATATACTTCATCGACGCCCTGATTCCGCAGTTTTTGCATGACTGCTGATATTTCTAGTGAATAAAACGGCTTCTCGTAATAAATGAAAACTATGTATAGTGGTTAGCTATATTCTGAGCATTTCTCTATTACCTGATTGATAGTATGAATGTGGTCGATTGTTGAGGAGCCTGTTCTAAATACTGCTTGTTCCTTTGGTTGATTGAATTCTAATGTTTTCTTTACTCTGTTAGCAATTACCTTTGTAAATAGCTTGTATACTACACAGAGCAAGCTAATCGGCCTGTAAGTCTTCAAGTCCTTGTCATCTCCTTTCTTATGTATTAAGATGCTGTTAGCGTTCTTCCAAGACTCTGGTACTCTTCCCGTCAGGAGACACCTCGTAAACAGGGTGGCTAGTTTTTCTAACACAATCTGTCCTTCATCTTTCAGCATATCTGATGTTACCTGATCCTCACCAGCAGCTTTGCCTCTTTGCATGCTCTCCAAAGCTTTTCTGACTTCTTCTATAATTACTGGTGGGGTGTCGTCTGGGTTACTGCTAGTCCTTATAGTATTAAAGTCGTGGTTGTCCCGGCTACTTTACAGATCTCTGTAAAGCTCCTCCGCTATTTTAACTATCCTATCCATATTGGTAGTTATTTTTGCCTTCTTTGTCCCTTAGTGCATACATCCGATTTTTGCCTATCCCAAGTTTCCTCTTCACTGCTTTGACGCTTCCTCCGTTTTTCAGGGCACCCTTCAGTACACAGTAAATGGACAGTGACGTGCTTTCGAGCAGAAAGTCATCTTGTACTGGGGTTGTGCGCATATCTTCACCTTATTTTTTTAATACAACAGTGTTTATGCCGGGGCTTATGAAGATTTCAGTGACGTACTTTCGCCGTAGAAATTGCGTCAAACTATACGTACAGTCAAAAGACAAAGAAAAAGCTCCATCTACTGGAGTGAATGGCCCCCGACCTTTCGGGTGGCGACAACACTGGCCGGGCGCGCTATTCACTGCGCCACAGTCACGAACTTCGGATACTAAAAGAACGTCCTTTAGGGGCGAAGCTCTTTAATGTAAAGGGCAGTCCACCCCTCCGGCCTGCTCAGCACAGCATATTCACAGACAGACAGACAGACAGACAGACAGACAGACAGACAGACAGACAGACAGACAGACAGACAGACAGACAGACAGACAGACAGACAGACAAACAGACAGACAGACAGACAGACAGACAGACAGACAGACAGACGGGCGGACGGATGGATGGACGATTCACCCCATTCAACATGAATGGGGTGAATGAGATGGCGTCCATCCATCCCATTCACCATGAATGGTGAATGGGATGGGTGGACGCCATCTCATTCACCCCATTCTCCATAAATATGCTATGATTTTGATATCTACCACTACCCTCTACAGGGTAGTAGAGGGTGCAGTGTAGTAATGTATCACGACCGTCTGCCACGCATTATGCACCCTGAGCGTAAACCTGGTTGTCGGAGGCATGGGTTAGATACTTCAATCACACCCTCAGCCAAATTGAGCAACAAATAGTTTACTACACGGTCGCAGATCCCACGGCAAACGGACACAAAGTGGTGGGGATCAGCGGCACTCACTCAATGGTAAGACCTACCTCTATCTCCTCCCCATCTTCAGCAACCAATTCGGGCGAGATCCTGGCGGTTACTTTGGCCATTCAAGCAGCTTCAGCCTTTCAGCGAAAACCTACTACATACTCACCTATTCACAATCGACAATTCGGGCTTTCCAAACATATCGCGGCATACGCGAAACCTCCCACTCAATATTTTATGCACATTCAAAGTCGCTTCACACAACAGCCACATCGTTTACCTGCTCTGTACCGCTGCTCATGACTCGTGGTCTGGTAATGACGGCGCTCATGCTGCCACTCGAGAACTCACCTTCCGAGAAGCCTCGCGCAGTGAGGTGGCTAACCTATAGCCAGTTTCCCCACTTCTCACATATAACGAAGTCACACAAGATTGCATACGACAACGACAGTAATGCCATTTGCCACCAGAGTACTTCACACGAGAGGGGGCTGTCGCACTTCACCGGCTGCCAACCAGAACTTTCCCGAATCTGCACTTGACGCTATAAATATACCGGACTCGTTATACCGATGCCTGTCCAGGATGTGATACAACTCCCGCAACCTTTCACATCATCATAAAGTGTACCGCTGCCTACTTCTTTACCCTTCCACCAATTCTTCAGTGCACCAATACCTCGGAACTGTGGGAAGGCACCCTTCGCGATGGCGCCCCCAAGAACTGTCGGGTACTCTTTCTGCGGGCTCGGACTGTCGCAGGGGTTCTCTTAGGTGTCCTGAAAGAGGCACACTCTCGGTTTTCTTTAGATTTGAAAAACAAATGTTTTCACCACGACCATGACATCCACGATTACTTCCTCTAACGTGTCGTTTCTACGCATGCATCGTACTGAAAAATTTTCGACAATCTTCCGCTAAAGAGAAGCAGTGGGCGCTGACGCTTACACTCGCGGCAACGTTGACGCCGGCGCTCATCAAGCGAATATCAAGTACAGACGCCCTTGACTGAATTTTGAGCACGCGATCCAGTGCCTAAATATACGGGGTGGATAGTGAACGGTTCTGCAGCGCACTCGGTTTTTAAGTGCGAATGCATTTCTTAGTCAGGGCTATGTCAGGCTTCCGGCGTTGTCCATGGTGGCATATGTGCGCCGGCAGGTCTTGCTTCTCCACTCTCACTCTCTTTCCCATTGAAACAGCTGTTAGCACGCACACTTATCTTCGCCCCTAGAAACCAGAGCATGCAATGCGAGAGAGTGTAGGAGAGGGTAGGTTTAGTGCTTCACTGTTCCTTCTCTCGAAGTTCGTTCTGTCTCCTCCCTGCGCCCCACTCTCCCGTCCGCTCGAGCCTCACTCTCAACCGTTCGCTGCCTGGGCGCCTCTCAAGAACATCCGAAATGTGTGCATTAGGCGCCACTGTGAAACGCCAACTCTGAGCCGAGAACGCTGGAACCCCAATCTCCCGTCCTCTCGCTCCTCGCTCTCAACCGTTCACTTACTAGGCGCCTCTCCAGGCGATGACAGACGTCTTTGAAGTCGAATGTCTGACGACAACGGTAATGAAGTCTATGCTGAACCCTCGTGTTGAGAAAATTGGTACAATCAAGGTTATCTTTACCTTTATTACTACGGCTGAAAACTTTTTTAGTGACAATTGAGATTACACACATCATACCACAAAGTTGGAGGCATATATTCACAGCGATTCTCTCAGATCACGATAAAGATTGAAAGGAGCATGTGTTTTAATCTAACAATGACGACAGGATCTAAAGTGAGGCCGGACAACAATGGTAAGGCGACACTGAATCTATGAAGTACTCTACTTTAGTAATTCATCGTGAAACACTTTTTCAGCCTTTACCGGCCTCTTGGAAATGCTTAAAAATATTCCGGCGATATTGTAACCAGCTTTCCGGCTTAGTGAAAAAATGCATTCTACAAACGGGAATTGCTGCTGTGAACAGCTCAACAAGATTTTGAAATCGTAAGCGACGCGAGGAGTGTTCAACCGGAAGACACAATTACCATGTTTTCAAGTGACTTCTCTACCATTCTGTTGAAAGGGGTGCCAGCTGTTTGTTGGCAAGCTGCATATATCTGACTTTGGCTGATAGTTGACCAATGGGCTTACAGTGAAGGTGCTATTCTCGCCATACAGTGTCGCCATGCGCAGCACCACAATTTAAGGTGCTTTAAATTACAATGCAGCTACACAAGTATGCCAGGAATCACAACGAGAAACAGTGCTTCTTCGCACACACTTGCTGTAATCGCTTGGAATGACGCAGCTTCTTTTCCTCGTGTCGTTTCTCTCAGTGTAGTTTTGAGCGTGCTCATCGGCACGAAAGAAGACAAATATTGTTTAAAACGTACCAAAAATATTTGTGGCTCCGTTCGTGCTTGAATGAATTCTATTTTGGGGGGGGGGTTTCGATCCCTATACCCGGTTCATTAGATGAATGCTTGAAAAAGTGGTTCAGGATCCTTTTTAGCATACACTGTTTGCGGGGTCTTGTCCTGCACTTGATGTTCTCTGGCAATGTGCTTACCAGTGGCAGTCTTTCTTTTGCACGCGTCCAAGGGAAAAACCCAAAGGCTATGATACACTAATAGTTGCTGGTCACATATTATTGCCACGTAAATGCTACAGTGATATAAAAGGGAAGTCCTGATACCTCCTTCACAGACCGGTGACCATGTTTCTCCATGAACTGCCGGAATTTCCGTCCACACTCGTTCTCTGATTTCATTAGCCACTCTGAAGCCTCCTGGGGGAAGAAAGAATTGGAATTGAAAATAATCATTGAGCAACAGCTGTACCAGAACACGCACTTGAACAACTATTCTACAAAATACGCATCATAAAGCTGACATGCCTGCAACTCGATCAAAAACAAATACGGATGCAGGCCATGATATGGACACCTAATAATTTTTCCAAGGAAATAATAGAGTTTTTCGCTCTTTTCTGGCTGTTCCTGCTTGAAAAATTGCACTGCTAAAAAATATTTAGGTAAAAATGAGGTCTAGAAGTCACCGGTTACAACCTCCGGCCACCGCTGGCAACCGCCATTTTGTCATGGCTTGTGTGACGTCACATCATGCATACGGCGAAGCCGTCCTCTTTAACGTAGTTTTAACCGCCGGACATTCTTCAATTTCAATTTCATACTGAGGAAAGCTGAAATCGCTTGATTGCACGCACAGCTGACCACCGAACAAAGTCGTTCGCCGGAATGTATACGCTCGCGAATCAAGCGGCTCGTTTTGTAGCATTTAATGAGTGCGGCAGTGTTTCCCATGCGAAGGTTTAATAGTCGGGTATGCTGTGCGTGTGCGTGCGTGCGTGTGTGTGTGTGTGTGTGTGCGTGCGTGCGTGTGTGTGTATGTGTGTGTGTGTGCGTGCATGTGTGCGTGTGTGTGTGTGAGTGTGTTTGTGTGTCTGTGTGTGTGTGAGTGTGTTTGTGTGCGTGTGTGTGTGGGAGTGTGTTTGTGTGCGTGTGTGTGTGTGTTTGTTTGTCTGTGTGTGTGTGCGTGTGTGTGTGTGTGTGCGTGTGCGTGCGTGTGTGCGTGTGTGCGTGTGCGCGTGTGCGTGCGCGCGCGCGTGTGTGTGTGTGTGTGTGTGTGTGTGTGTGTGTGTGTGTGTGTGTGTGTGTGTGTGTGTGTGTGTTTACATTTCTGCTGTTTCTGGAGAACATACATTGCGGAATAGCGCTGACATCAAACGAGGCAATCTTTCATGTGTTTGAGAGACTTACGTAACAAATGTATTTCCTGATAGGCAATATTTGTCCATTTGTGCATATTAGGACTACTGAGTGGATTTATCGCAGGAAGAGTATGAGAGAAGCACGGCTCCAACGTGCGACTTTCATTTGCTGGAGGAGGGGCCTTTTATATTGCATAGTATTGGGCGAGATGCCTTGCATTTAGGGCTTGAGCCTGCACATAATGTGTACAAAGCGCACTTTATACCAGGTAACGTTACGCAGTGAAAATACTTCCTTGTCTAGGTTAGAAACTGCAGGATATTTGTAATGGCTTATTCAATATATGTACTTTTCTTTTTAGACTCCCTAATGCAGCTGGACGAGTGAGCTGAATTCCTTCTTTGTTTGATTTGTATCGCTCATTTTTCAGAAGTATGCGAACAGAAAATGCGGAACGTAGTAAAAACGCATGGGACGGGGACAATGGTTTTCTTCATCTACCTGCTTTGTGCAATCGCGCTTGGGGCAAAAGTAGTTCAAGGCCATATAATTCAATTGGTTACGCTACCAGTAGAGTACAAGCAACACATTTTGTACCACGTACACTTACCTCCGTAGTCATGCTCAGAAACTTCTCCCTCTCCGGAGATTCTCTCAGCACGTGACCCAATTCCTGCAACAAAATCGTTGTTTTCATATGTCCATCGTCATCGCTATTATCATGCTCGCCATAATCTACCTTTCTTGTATTCACTCCCGAACAAAGGTGGCACCAAGACATCTTCATATGCACATCTGTTTAGGCAGCTAATCATCTCTTCAACTGGCGATGCTGTGCTCTATAGCTAATACGGGAGCCAATTTGCACGTACGCAGCTTTTCTACCGTGCAGTGCTTACATAAAAAAAGCAAATTAGCGTTGTGTGCACTAGGGGCACAATGCGAAAAAATCAGTGGAGCTGGTGAGCACCTAGGCAGTCCCGGCTTTCTCTGTTTCTGTAAGTCGTTCAAGTTTTCTGTTTCTTTCTTCCTCGATTTCGTTCTGCTTGCCTGGGCACTGTTTTTTTTTTTCCTTTTTGCTCTGTTTATCTTCGTTTATTTGTACCCGCTGCAGTGGAGCTGTGGTTATAGTGATTGGCTGCTACCCGAGAGGTCGTGGGTTTGATCGCGGCTACAGCAGTCACAATTCAAAGCAGGGGAAATACTGGACTTTCGTGTGCTGTGCGACGTCACTGCATGTTAAGGAACACCAGATGGTAGCAATTTCTGCACTGCTCTACTTCGACATCTCTCACAATCATATCACGACTTTGGGACGTAAGACCCCTGCAGGTATATTTACTATCAGCTTTCACCCAACGGCAAAAAAAGAAACTTAATTGAAAAATTTATGGATGCTGAAGTATTCATATTTTTCATAATTTGTAGCGGTGCACTAAACTAATTATTATAGTCACTTGCTTTCCAGTCAGCTTTTTCAATGGGCTATTCCTTACTTTCGTATTTATCTCGTGGGCTAACAAAAGCGGCAAGTAAGTACGGCGTTAACGTGGCTTTTACGGCTACCAATAAGATAGCTAAGATATGCTCCCTATGAAAAAACTTAAGAAGCCCCTAAGTGGGAACCTACCGTCAAACCTACTTTGGAATCGTGCAGAATGTAAATACAGATCAAATTCAATTAATTCACAGCTTCATACACGCAAACAAAATGAAAAAATCAGTCTAATGTTTGACACCTGATTTATTGATAACAGATATTGACATATCGCATAATTGATCGGTTGTATAACATGCATAAAGCAGAAATCAAATGTCTGAACAATTATCTCCCACGTATACCCCCATATACATGCCGGATTGTAAGGTATCGCCCCATGTCTGGGATTTCTTAGCGGTACCTTTTCTCACGCTCTGAGCCTTGTTGATCATTAGTTGTTGTTTGTGCTGTCCCAGGTTCTCCATATGTGTAAGTGTTGACACTTTCCCTTTTCCAACGTGAATTCATACCGACTAGCTCATATTAATTTTTAACTGAGTTGTGCGAAAAAAATATCTTGAAGTACAAAAGGAGCACACCAGGACACAGCGCACACTAACAACTGAACCTCATTCAAGAAAATCGTTACCAGAACACGTGCGGTGAAAGGAAATGATCAGATGAGCACACAGATTGTAAAAATGATGCACTTCCAGAAAAGCTACTCCCTCAGTGGGAAATAACATAACCAAGGGCGGCGCGACACGTGAATCACCAGCTTTGTTGATGGGATACACCTCTCTATTTCCCGCGCTACTTTGTCCTTGAAACTAGCTTTAACTACCGTATCACCAAAGAAGGCCACGCAGCCGCACTCTATCCAATGCGACGATTGGTTAGAGCAAGGGTGTCCCTTCAGAGAAGCTTCAAGTGCACTCGGCGTCACCAAGTGCACGGCGGTTATCACGAGCTACAGAGGAAGGCCAGGTTTGAAGCTTCAAAATAAGTGAATGGTGGACCAGCTCACTACAGAACACCTTAGAACACTGGTGGTGGACAAGGAGGGCTCTTTCGCAGTGTTGCCCGCGTGCTTGTTCCTGGAGAAGGCATCGTGGGTCATCAAGAAGTGTCTGAAGGGAATTGATAAGAAGCCGGCGGATGTTAAAAAAACGGGCGATGGCTCTGCTGCATGAGCTACGGTTGGATTATCTATGTGCTGCAGTGAAAAGGAAAAAAAGGTTCGCTGCTTCAAATGTTCTTCCCAGTGAAGACCCACAAACTAGACGCACCGTTCCACCTCATAATTTCTGAGCGATAAACTCGGTAGTATGGGGTTTCAACGTATCTACAGAAACATCTGTCTTCCTTACGTTTGTTGGACCCATTCTGGGTCAAGAACTTTGAAGAAGTGACTACTTTTCTAATGAAGGCTGCCCCGCAGTCTTTGTCAGGGTTCGGTGTGGAGGTGGAGAACCTTTTCTACTCTTTTTCACGGGATGAGTTTTTCAAGTGTGTAAAAGACTGCATTCAGTTACACAATGACTGCATTCAGTTACACAATGAGTTACACAATGAGATGCAACATCTGCGGACAAGAATATATCGGCCAACCAGACATGCCATTTCGGCTGCGGTTCAATAATCACCGGTACCACGCCACTTCACTGCCGAAGCTACGTTTATCTAGACATCTGCGCCTGCCAAACCACAGTTTTGAAAATATCAGCGTAACTCTTTTGCAGTCTGGTTTCTCAAACAGACGCGAGCGCGAGCAGCGTGAGGCATACTTTATTTTAAAATTTCGAACATTAGTAGCCGGCGTCAACGAGGACCCCGGAAAACTCAACTGCCTCCGAGAAGTAAGCCAGAAGAAAATTGGTGACAAAGATTGATAGCTGGAGACCATGCTTTTTTCTGACTGACTCGTACGTGTACACTGTCCTTTCTTGTTTTCCTTTTTTTTCATTTTTTCTTTTCTTCCTTTTTTTCTTTTTTTTCCACATGCACATACAAAGTGTTTTCGTTCGCCTACCACTTGATGACCATTGAAGGGAAACGGACGAAAAATAAAGGTAAAAAGAGCCAACCGACCCATTAACGGGAAACCCTTCCTTTACGCACGCCGACCGACCCATTACGGGGAAACCCTTTCTTTACGCACGCCGTCACGGACCCTCCCGGCACCGCGGCGACAATCTTGGGTGGCCCGACACACGTCGAGAACTGAACAGCACGTGATAAGAAACGTATGTGGACGTACACGGACAGTTGGTTTCGTTCTCAGTGTTGACAGTGGTTCTTCCTCTTTTTTACTTTCTTTTCTTTCTTTTTCTTTTTTTCTCCCCCTTTTCTTCCTTTCTTTAGTTCCCTCTCATTCTCGCAAACATGTTTCAAGGCGAAAGGGACGTGGCTGCAACGAAGTTTGCAAATTCATGTCAGTATAACTCATCCCCTGATGAAGGGAGGACCCCTCCCGAAACTGTTGGAAAATAAATATATTTATCCTTGTGGACAACGCTCCCGTTGTGCCATATCCCATACCTTTACGAAGACTAACTGGTTATTTAATTATTACTCCCACTATACATATATATATATATATATATATATATATATATATATATATATATATATTGTGACGATGGAACGCATTTATTTACAAGGTGGGTAATGCTGCAGAGGTGTAGCTCAGTGAAGGATCAACAGCGTCGCTCGCGAGCCAGTCGAGTCTCTTCCTCCTCTTCGTCAAATCTTCGCTAGCGCGTTTCACTTCCCGGTTGGCAGACGATGCCCTCTGGGCGAGTCACTAAGATGGTTGATGCTGGCACGGTTGAAGGCGCACAACGTGTGTAAGTTGTGTTTTGCTAGAACGGCGACCATTGCTTGTGACGCTCGAGATTACGTACGTGACGTCGCTGAGGCGGTCAAGAATGACGAATGAACCAGAATAGTGGGCCAAGAACTTCTGGCACAAACCTCGTTTGCGGACTGGTGTCCATAACCACACAAGATCGCCCTTACTATAAGATACGGAGCGATGGCAGGCGTCGTAACGTTTCTTAGAACGCTGCTGGGATGCCAAGGTTCGGAGGCGTGCGATGCGACGGGCTTGTTCTGCGCGGCAAAGCGTCTCGGCTATCGAGGTTTCCACGTCTAGTGTAAAAGGTAGTATAGTGTCGAGACAAAATCGTGGGGGGCGAGCGTACAGCAGGTAAAATGGAGAGTAACCTGTAGTCTCATGCTTCGCGGTATTGTACGCGTACGTGATGTAAGGTAGCACTTCGTGCCAGTTTTTGTGCTTAGAATCGACATAAATAGACAGCAGGTTCGTGAGAGTCTGGTTCGTGTGCTCTACGAGACCATTGGTCTGCGGGTGATATGGTGTGGCATGGCGGAAATGGCAGGCAGACAGACGCAGGATCTCTTCAACGACGTCAGCAACGAACTGACGTCCGTGGTCGCTAATGACAACGCGGGGAAGACCATGGCGGAGAATTATACAGCGAAGCATAAACTGCGGCACGTGCATGGCCGTTGCAGCAGGTATTGCAGCAGTTTCTGCGTAGCGCGTTAGGTGGTCAACACAGACGACGACCCATCGATTGTTACTGTTCGATCGTGGAAATGGACCGAGCAGATCGACACCAACAGTCTCGAAGGGAGAGTTAGGAGGTGGAACAGGATGGAGAAGTCCTGGCGGCGTAGCCATGGGACGTTTGTGTCGTTGGCATTGTTCGCATCCAGCAACGTATTTTTCCGTGTCGTGTCGCATCTTGGGCCAATAGAACCTTTGCTGGATTCGTTGAAGCGTTCTGGCGAAGCCCATGTGGCCGCAGGTTGCGTCGTCGTGTAAGGACCGAAATACGTGAGCCCGTAAAGTGCGTGGAACAACTAGAAGCAGATGGGCGCCTTGTCCGGAACAATTCTTCTTGTAAAAGACGCCGTCATGAACCAGAAAAGGGCTTGGGTTTGCGTGTTCATTTGCGGAGGCGAACAGAAAATCTAAGGAGCGGTCCTCTTGTTGGGCTGTCCGGAAAATCGCGAGATCAGGGAACTCAGAGGCAATAGCGCCGATATACTGGTCGAAGTTGTCAGCGGTGCACTCAGTCGTCGGTAGAAAAAGGCGCGATAGGCAGTCGGCGTCTGCGTGCCGGTTACCGCTCTTGTGGCGTACTGTGAAGTCGAACTCTAGT